ATAGGTAGGTAAGAAGGTTTGTAAATATCTAGGCAAGAGTATACTTATTCTTAAAGAATTAAACCTACGTAAAACGTATAGTGTTATTAATAAGAAATAATGCGTAGCGCTCTTCTTTAATTCTAGAGATAGAGTAAGAACTCTAGGTATTAACTATAATAAGCTTACTAAAGTATTTATAGTGTTAGTTCGCAGAATTCTAGAAAACCTTATAGAGAGTATAGGTAGTAGCGCAGACAGAGCATATATTCTTTATCTTTGCCTAGATTTGTTTATTAGTAACCTTTATGCTATAGCTAATTTTTGTAAGCTAACGCATATATTCTAGAGAGAGATAGCTAAGTTAATAGTGTTTAGACTACATAGAGTTATTAAAGTTAACTATAGCTATAGTAAGAAGGTTAGGTAAGAGCGCAGTATATAAGATATATACGTTTACTCTAACGTAAAGAGGTACAACTATAATTTTCTTATTATTAGACTTCTAATAAAAGAGTATACTATCGCGCCTAGTAGTAGTAGTGTAGTAACCTAGGTCTAAGTAAATAAAAGAGGTAATAGAAAGAAGATTACACTACGCAGCAGGTGCATACTATATATTATTAAGTTATAGAATAATACAGGTTCTGTTCTAAGTAGTTACAACAAACTTAATAGTATCTTTTCTAGTAATCTTAAGCTGCAATTCTTATTTGCATGCTCTAATATGCTTAGAGTAGTGTTCTAGCTTAGAGAAAAGAGTAAGATTGTTAGTAATATATTATAAGGCACTGCTATTACATATCTAGTACGTAGATATAGAGGTAGAAGTAGTTACTATAAATGTAGATATATTAAGACCTCTATTAACTATATCTAGACCTATACGCCTGCTAACTATTTAGTTAGCCCTCTTTAAACTAGTAAGGTACCTAGAGTTCTAAGCTAAGTTAGTACTAGAAATAGGTATAGAGTAGGCACACGTATAGTTAATGTCTAGGTAGTTAATATTAGAGTTGTAGAAAGTAGATATAAGCGAGAGGTTATAAGTAGAAGTAATAATATAGTTAATAAAGAAAGTATTCTTATCTACGTTAGCTAGCGTAAGGTCTGCGTTTAGAGTAGCAGCTGCACTAGAAGTAGACTAGTTAGAGTAGGTAGCCTAGCAATTCTTCTTGTAATAAGTAGCAGCGATATAACTAAGTTTCTTACAGAAGGTATATATAGAAGTGTTAGGCTTACTAACGTAATAATAGGTAGTAATAGAGTGTCTAACATTACTATAGTGCTTGCACTTAGAGAAGGTAAACTTGTTAGAATTATTATTAAGAACGCAGAAGGTGCAGAAGTTAGCCGCTAAGGTTGCTTAGAGAGGCTTATTCTTAGAAGTATCTTACTTATTCTTATTATTATTCTAGTAGTTAAAGAGAAGAGTCTTGTAGGTCTTAAAGACATTATTAGTAATAAGAGTACTATAGTAGAAAAGCTTCTAGTAATTAAGAAACGCGTTATACTAGCAGAGAAGAACTTTATTAATCTTGTTAATTAACTATAAATGTAATAGAGTTCTGCTAGCGTTATAAAGGTTATAGAATATTTTCTTAAACTTAGATAGAAGAGGCTAAATAGCAGCAGAATTAGTTATAGCAATCTTGTCTAGCTTAGATAAAGTATAGTTAACTAAGATGTTCTTAGAGGCCTTATTATTAGCTTAGATAGCGTAGTACGTAAGATAGAGGTTAAGTGTGTTAAGCTTCTTAAGCTCCCGCTAAACCTATAGTTTAATAGAGGCGCGAAGAAAGGCAATAGCAGAGCGTATAGACTTATTATACTTCTTCTACTACTAGAGAGCGCAGTTATAGATAGTAAGCTTAGTAGCAGCGTTAGATAGAATTAGAGCAGAGACAGCAGCCTTCTTGCGTAGGTTAGTAGTAGACTAAGAACGTGTAGTATAGAGAGCAACATAAGTAGAAAGCAAAGGCTTCTTAGAGTTCTTGCTAGTATTGTTGTAGTAGTCTACATAACTATAGATAAAGGCGACCTTAATAAAAGCCTTAGACTAGTTCTAGTAGTTATTAGAACTAGTAAGCTTCTTAAAGTTCTTACCTAAGGTAGAGGTAACACTGTTAATAGTAGACATCGCGGGCGATAAGATAGTTTGCAGAAAACAAGTAGAAAAGAAAAGAAATATATAGTAGTTAGTACGCTAGAAGGTTAAGAACTAGGTCGCGTAATAGTAACGCTTAGAAATTATCGCGCGACTATAGCGTAGAGAGAAGTAGCTAAATCGCGCGCAGTAGCGCAGAGGCTTATAACCTATAGAACAAGAAGAGAAAGATGTAATAATTATTCTATGTAAGAGGGAGGAAGCCCTGTATATATACTACTAGGGCGACGCTAGTGAGTAAATTACGTGATAGGATTCTAACTAACATTATGCCAGCGTCTACAAAGGGAACGCCTGTATTGCCTTCATACCATTTCTCCCAGCCTGCTTAGTCGTCTTCCCACTCTACTGCGTCGAATTTGAGATTCTATAGGAGGTTCATGGAGGTGTGTGGTGTAGTCATGGTTGTCTGTCTGTAGAGTTCTCTGAAAACAATCTCTCGGACCCAACCGTAGACGCCATTGGATGCCTTGGCTTCGGTAAAATCGGTACTGCCGCGATTGTAATCTACAACTTTCTGCAGTGCTTCGCGTACGGAGAACATGCCCGCACTAAAGTAGGCAGACATGCGTGACGTGCTATTTGCGGCAGGATTTGAGCGTGTAGCGGCGTAGTGGTCAATTTGCTTTAGGAACGCATCCATTCGTTGTGCTGCTGCATCGTGACCGACAGGCCACAGCTTCCGTATCCTCTTCTTGTCTTCTTCCGACTCGAATTGCTTGTCTTTTGCAGGCTGGGGTACGACTGTATCGAAGAGGCTTTTTAGCTCCTTCTTCGCAGAGGGGGGATTCGCGGTAGGTGGAGGGTTAGTGTCAAGCAATTCCGGCTCGTCTTTCAGCCTCTCGAGCCACGCTTTGAAGAAGGGTGTAAAGACTTTCATGGGTGTCCCAGCACCTGTAAGCATTGTGCCAGGCTCGACAACGGTCTGGTCATGATACAATGAGACTTGAATACCATCTCCAGCTGTTTGGCAGAGTTTCAGATCCCTCCGCATCTCATCAATCTCGTACTCCAAGTTGCCAAACACGTGTGAAATCTCCCACTTTTGCATCCAATCCACTGCTGTCTGTACAATCTTCTTCCTATCCTCGCACTCTAGAAAGACTAGTGGTATGTTCAACTGCTTGAGCTCTTTCTGCATGATGCGCAATCCCTCGCACATGAAATCGACCCTTGCGGGGCTAGTCCCATGCCACGACTCGTCTGCAGCGCAATTGACGTAAAAACATACGAGAGGCTTGCTCGCACTTTGGGCAAGCTCGGAAGCATGATACAGCGCGGTGTTATCTTGAATGCGGAGATCTTTTGGACGAAACCAATGCGCTACCTTTGTCACGACCTTGATTTCCTCTTGTGCACCGAGGGCTTCTTGAACTTGATCGTAGGGAAGATTATCATCTACTCGTTTCGCGCGTTTGAGAGTCGTATGCCCGAGTTCGGAGCGTTCGTATGATGTTCTTTTGGACATGTTCGTATGGGTCTGGGATTTGTTCGGCTGTGCGGGCTTTTTTGGCGGTGCTCTACTTTGGAAAAGAGTCGCGTGTTGAAACGCGCGGATCGGTAGTCGTACTTTGACACTAACACATCTATATTGAGCAGCTGCCGGCCTAGGTAGAGTTTGCAATAAGAAGACGCGTTCGAAGGAAGGCATTGTACATGCGCTCTGCGCTTAGGCGTACCTTTGTACCTGATCATCGATAAACCTTAGACTAAGGGTTCAGAGTGGTGACGTCGGCGGACCACCCAACGACACCAACTAGAGCCGATCAAGACGTTACCCTGATGGACACCTGGCGTCGAACACCAATCGAAGGCATGCCTATCGGCGTTTCAGATACAAGATCTGGAGAGATCCTTGGTTCCCGCTGCATTTCGCGATCTGTCGCCGCTTCCTGGGATTTTGGTGCTTTGCATAGGGCTGCATTCGATTCAGGGTTCCAGGCGACGACGGTGGATGTGAGCACGCGACAAACTACGTTGCTAGTGCGAGGTGTCAATGCGACCGACATAATTCCGCTCTAACGCGCAGACAAGGAGTTGCATAATTTCCATGTTGGAGTTTTGTTGGTCTGACAGATTGACCGCAGCCGAATCATGCCAGCCGGGCACGGTGCCTAGTTGCTGACACGTGATGCGAGTCTTTCGGACTGCGATCAAGCTCTCTGCCTTGAGCTCGTCGGCACCATATCCGTCGACGAGCTAGGCTAGCAAAGCTTTGTCGTGTTGTGTCGCTGGCCCTCACTACGATGGCGAATGGAATTGCCCCGTCCGGAGCACACCGTAGGCATCGAAATCCCAGCCGCTCGCAATACCCCATCGCCAAGGGAAAATCTACGGGGATACCAATTTTGGTTTCCACGAGAGAACCATTGAATAGCGAATCAGATCATAGCTGTGCGGAACGTGACGCCAAGATGTACCAAGCCACGCCAAGTCCTCATCCTCCAGCCTTCCATTAACTGGCAGAAACGTGCATGTCTTTCCCAATGAGGCAGCTCCTTAAGATTCTCGATGATGACAGTGGCTCGCGGCGCGGACCAGGCCAGCGGAATGGGGACTGGGCCCAGGTAGCCGGAGTCTTCCTCTCGAGCAGTAAGAGCGCTGTGTTATCGCACGAGGGACGGGAAAAGGCACTTAATGCACCTTGTACTGCAGAGGAAGGCATGCCTCGGGTATGAAATGTGGACGCTAGTAGCTTGATACGCGGGACATAGTCTGATTCGTCTTGATGCATGTATGCAGGTCCGGGAAGCTCTGTGAGCTTATAAAGGTTGGAGCAACAGCTTCCCAGAATGTCGGTTCATCGCACTTTTGAGAGTCTTGCCCACCTACTGATCTCTCAATCGCGTTCGTTATGAAGTGTACATGCTCAGCTGTCGTGGCTGCAGCCCTTTTGGTCAGGTCTGTCTCCGCGCAGACATTCCGCCGTCTGGGAGCTTGCCCAACGCTCGGTTGCGTGTTCCCTCCTGACCAGTAAGCATACAGATTGAACGAGCTCAGAGAGCTCAATTGCTGATACACAACTCAGGGCCGACTTTCTTGCGGGCCAGTACTTCGACATCCGTCTAGAAGTTCACCAGCCAAGGAACGGATCCGAGTTCATCGGTCTACCTCTGGATGAGCAGTTTACCTTCACTCTTGGAAAGAAGGGCGAGGAAGCGAAGCTAGTAACAGAGTTTTTCAACCTCGAAGAACCCAATTTGGAGAAGTGGAACTTCACATGGTACGAAGACCTCTTCGCACGCGACGCGGCAAGGAAAACCCTCGTCAACGTTGCCTCTAAAGCCTACCGCCGCATCGCTCTTTACGAACCTGGCGAGTACACTGCTACCCTCAACTATAACAATGGAAGCAAGACGGAAGCTACTTGGCTCGTTCGCGACCTGGCTGAGGAGCGCAAGGCCAAGAACATCGTTCTCTTCATCGGTGACGGGATGACCACAAACATGATCACAGCTGCTCGTTTGATAGGCCATAAGCAGGTCAACGGCAAATACCAATCTCTCATGGCCATGGACAAATTCCCTGTCGTTGGCCACCAGATGACCCACTCGATCGATAGCTTCATCACCGACTCCGCTAACTCTGCTGCTGCGCTCAACACTGGTCACAAGTCAACAGTCAACTGTTTGAACGTTTATGCGGTACGTGTCTTCCATCTCGTTGCGCACTTGTATACATCATCATTTTACTAACAAATAGTATAGGACAGTAGCAAGGATCCTTTTGATGACCCGAAGGTTGAGAGCATTGCTGAGATCTTTCATCGTCTTACCGGAGGTCACGTAGGAATAGTATCGACAGCATACATTGCGGATGCTACTCCCGCTGCCTTGGTATCACACACCCGTCTCCGTAGCCAGTATGGAGCTATCGTCGATACCTACCTTAATGGTGTGAACAACTGGACGCACGTTCCTATCGATGTCATTTTCGGTGGTGGCGCCGAGCAGTTCTACCCGTCTGAACTTGGAGGTGTCACGTATCAGGACAAGAACTACTATGATGAGTTTGCCGCGCAGGACTATCAGATCATCCAGAACCGCACTGCTCTGCTCTCTGCCAGCAATGAGGAAAAGGCTCTCGGTATCTTCACCACCTCCAATATGGCCAAGTGGCTCGACCGCAATGTCTACCGTGACAACCTCAACCAATCGCTTTCCCCTACTGGAGATGAGACACCCGCTCTTGATCAGCCGGGTCTCAAAGAGATGACCCTCAAGGCCATTGACATCCTCGAAACCCGCTCAGGTGACAAAGGATGGTTCCTTATGTCAGAAGCCGCCAGCATTGACAAGATGATGCATGTTCTCGACTATGATCGCGCACTCGGTGAACTTCTCGAACTCGACGACACGGTGAAGGCCACTATTGACCACCTCAACTCCACCAACTGCCTCAAGGAGACTCTGATCCTTGTCACTGCCGACCACGGCCATGGCTTCGATGTCATGGGCTCCGTTGACACCCACTATCTAGCTGCTCAAAACGTCGACCGCAAGAAACGCAAGTAATACCCATGTACGAACTGTTGCGAGACATTAACTGACTTCGTACAGGCAATGCTGTGGGGACGTACGAGCAATCTGGCGAATCCCAATACATCAACACCGGCAATCTGACGTACACAGATTCTAACTTCCCGTCGACTTGGGAGCCCAGATTCAGTTTGTTTCAGGGGTTAATGGCAGATCCTGATCGTCGGGAGAATTGGTCCGTCCGCAAGAGCGGTCCCCGCGAGCCCGCCGTCGAAATCGAAGAGGATAGCGACGACAACTACGCTAACCCCGAGGATGGCGAGGACGGTATCTTGCTCAATGGTACGCTGCCTGTCGAGAACGACCAAGGTGTGCATTCGTTGACGGATGTGCCTGTCTATGCCATGGGCCCATGCCAGGAGCTCTTCCAGGGGACATACAACAGCATTGATATCTTCTACAACATGGCGACTTGCTTTGGCCTAGGAAGAGGCAAGCCTAGTACTGAAGAGTAGAGCGTCTTTTTAGATGGGGTGTCGAAGAGAGAAGAGCTGTGCAGGGTTCATGACCACGTGGACGATGATGATGTTGTGGTAGTACTAAAATTACGTCTGCTCTAGGGTAGTTGTAATGTATTCTTGGTGATGATATTACTTCGTGCAACATTTGAGTTGTCCTTGGTTCGAGCCTAAAGTGTGTTCACACATCTTCATCGCAGGAAAAAGCTGCCACGGAAAGTGATGTGAAAAAGTCTTTAGTCGCTTTTCGCGATTGCCATAGTTATCAGAATTTGATCATTCATTAGTTTTTACGTGTTGGGGTGGAACATGAACAGACGGGCGCTGCATAAAAGCGTCACAGTGTTGTTATGTAACCAATATCCTGAGAAGGTCTTTGGTTTTTGTTGTCACTAGATAAGCCACTGTGGAGCCAAATGCTATCACAGTTCATGGCAACAGCACCCTAACAACACAGTTCCTGAATGTTACGGCCAACCAAGCAGATTGCCTCGCGCCTACTAAGGTTTCCACGGGTATCGGTAGCGTCCATCAGTTCCGTAACGAACATAAGGCTCGACTTCACTTGGACGAAATCATTAGCACCACTTGATAAGAATCTATCCTCACACCGAGAGCAGTGTATTCTCACAACTCCCGCCTATTCTTGGCCAGTTCAGCTTGTTGGCGTAGGTTCGGCGCCGTGGTGCTAGCCTCGCCGCTTTGAACGCCCTGCTCCATATCGGCAGCCCACAACGCAGCGCCAACGGTGTTTGTGAAAGAAAAGAAGATTCCGGCAATCGGGACGAGTTCAAGGAGGACAGCTGGGATGCCGAAACTATGGAAGGTTAGTGGTCTGAGTATGACTACACGTAGACGGACCGACCTAGCATATGCGGCCTTGCGCTCGTCAATGAAGCGCTCCTTCTCCTGCTTCTTCATCTGCTTGAGTTGGAAGTAGCGGGCATGTGCGGTGGGACCAAACTTGCGTCCTTGGAGGATGACGAATAGTACGGTGCCCACGACTGGGATGAAGTTGAGCGGAAGGTACATGAAGTATCGGATGATGGCGCTGGGGGCGAATTTTGCGAAAGGCTTCGAGACGAGCTTGCCCAGTTTCGCAACAGGGTCAGTTCCCGACTTTACCTGGCGCTCTTTGGAAACTAATGTGGTCTGGTTGCGGCTGACCAAGGTTGAATCAAAGGTATCAATAAGCGCTTCGTCAATGAGGAAGTTCTTGCTGAGAACCGAGAAGATAGTGGACGACTCGCTGAGTACGAGCAGAACCGTGGTGAAGACTGCGAGTGGTCCGTTGAAAAGGGTGAGAAGTGCGACTTGGGGAATGTATGTGACGGCAAACATGAGCACGGTGACACCAAGACCGAGCGAGACAGTAGGGACCAGTTTCGCAGCGAGAGGCTTCCATAGAGCACGGTGTGTGAAGAAGTACGCAATGCCCTTGGGTCATGTCAGTGTTGTGCTTTGAATGCAATCCCCTAGTGTGGTCGAGAGGGCCGAAAAGCACTCCCAGACCGGCCTCTCCAGGCAAACGTCGATGCAATGTAGGTAGCAAGGATTCAGACGCGTACCTTGAAAGGGTAGAGATATGCGGCCGAGCGGACAGCTTCTGAGGCAAGCTGTCTAGCTTGGTTGAAGTCTTCCTTGGCGACTTCCTTGACCTTGTCGGGTACTCTCACTCTGGACTCTGACATGGTTGCAACGGATAGATCGGAAAGGTTAAGAAGATTAGGAAGTAGGGAAAGGCGTCTGAGTCGTGATGGAAGACAAGTGGTGTTCCCTTGCCCAGGTGTTGGTGGGGTGAAGCTGTGGAATGTGGAAAACTACGTCATAATCGCGTACTTGGCCCAAGCTCCAATCCTAACAACGCGGACTCTGTCCCTGCGCCAACTACGTCGTTTGAGCAGATAACTTGTTACCGCAGGAGAGAAGAAACCCGAGAGATGGTACATGTTGATTGTATAAAATGCCAATAAGGCAAGCTGGGACGGTAGCGGATCAGTGCAAGGCACGTCATACAGTGCTGGTTTTGCGCATTTGCTTTGAGGTGCAGGGAATCCTGCGTAATTGCAATGTCAGGGCAATTTGCTGTCCCGCTGATGCTGCAATAGTTCAGAATAGTCCACCTATGGGCGATGGCTCAGGAATGCATTTCCAAGGCACCAGTTCAGGAGTGAGTCCATGCCGGATTCGCACGCTTCTAGGCCCTTGACAAAGTCCCCACCGTGGCCATTGTGCCAGGTAAATGTGGCGGTGTTATCAAGATTTTACAGAAGATCTGCTACAAACACGCGTCAAGGACCAAAAATCCGATGCAAGACAGGGTAAATCAGGAATTGAAGACGTGGCTAAGCTTTCCTCTTCCCCACTTTCCATGCACCGGATCGCAAAATGACGCAGCGCCAGCCGCGTGCTAGCCCCCACCACAACCGAACCGGACATTGGCTAGCTGCATCCGTCGCGAAGCCCCTCATCGAGGGTCCAGCGCTGGAGTGGCTGATGTAATTAGCCAAATCTTGTGGCAGCGGCAGACAGGAGAGAACGCCACGGCAGGTATAAGCTGAGGGATTAGGGAAAGAATACCGACCCATGGCCGGTTGGGGCTTGCAATGGCCACGTTTGAAAACAACAGGCACATCGTGCATGACGTCCGACACGAGTTGAGCCAGGTATTCACCAGTGGCTGTGCTAGGGGATAGAGCCAAACGCCTCGTATACTCGAAAAAGCTGCGCGGATGTGCAGCCTACGTTGGGATAAAATCAGCAATTTAGAAAGCGTAGCGTCAATGTAGGCTTCAGCGTGGTCAGCACTTCCCTCGATCAAGGTGCCAAGACCAAAGTAGGAAACAGGGATGTGAGCAGTGACTGCCCAGGTGCCGTTTGTACGACGTGTGCTGATGCAAAGGCATGACGTAGGACCATGGGTCTCTCTGACTTTGGCCCTCGCCTGTGGTGTATATATTAGACCACCAGCGCTTGCTTTTGGTGACCATCTACGCAACGACAACCACCACACCCACGCAACACTCTAATCAACTTCATTCAAGCCCAATCAGCTATCTATACCACCTCTTATTCAAACTTCACACCGCGATCATGTCAGGAGTGATGGACAAAGTTAAGGCCAAGGTCGACCAGGTGATGCACAAGGACAAGACCCATGGTAAGCACTTCCTGCAGACTGCCGAGGGCCTGAAGACCACCGTCAGCTACTCACACTTCTCTAGATGATCCCACCGGTCCTCACAGCTCTCATACTGCCAACACTGCCGATCCTACTGTACCTAATACTTCCAATGCTACCACTGGCACTGGGGGCTTCTCTGGTACCCACCATGGCTCTGGTGTAAGCACTGGCCTCGGTACTTCTGGTAGCCATGGCGAGCGCAACCCCGAGTACACATCTCCTACCCATGGTTCTACGGGTCTTGGGTCATCAGCCACTCATGGGAGCACTGGTCTCGGGTCCTCAACTACCCACGGCTCTACCTCTCACAATGACCCTACCGGTCCTCACGGCTCCCACACGATGAACAAGGCTGATCCCCGGGTCGACTCCGACCGTCTTGGAAACGCCGGTAACACTGCTGGCGCAGGCGGTTATGGTGCTGGACAGTATACTGAGTCCCACGGCACCCATGGTACTACTGGCAGCGGCCTCACCGGCACAGGGCTCGGCTCTTCGACTACTGGAGCTTACAGCTCAGGTAACAGCAGTGGACTGACTGGTGGTCACGGCACTGCCGATTTCAACGACCCAACTGGTCCCCACAGCTCACGCATGGCCAACCAGGCTGACCCCCGCGTCGGTGGTGTTGGTAGCACTGGAGCTGGCGCATACAACACTACTGGAACCGGTCTCACCGGCCATAGCACTACCGGTGGTCTTGGACACTCCCACAACGACCCTACCGGCCCCCACGGCTCCCACATGGCCAACTCTGCCGACCCGCGTGTTGGGGGTGTAGGTAGCACTGGCGGTCTTGGCCACTCTCACAATGACCCCACTGGCCCTCACAGCTCTCACATGGCCAACTCGGCCGACCCGCGTGTTGGGGGTGTAGGTAGCACTGGCGGTCTTGGCCACTCTCACAATGACCCCACTGGTCCTCACAGCTCTCACATGGCCAACTCGGCCGACCCGCGTGTCGGAGGTGTAGGCAGTACAGACACAGGAGCCTACGGCAGCAACGCTGGCGGCATCGGCTCAGGCAACATGGGCCAAGGAGGATACACCACAGGTGAGCACGTCAAGACCGTCCCAGGGGAGGTCGAGGGAACAGGCCGTGACAACCTCTCTCACCGCAATAACGAGAGTGGCGATCTTCCCAAGGCCCTCACCGAGCCTGTTTCCCACGCTGAGCCTCACTCTTCTCTGCAACATGACCAACACGTTTCAGGTGGCGCTCACGGCACTCATGGTACCACTGATGTTCACGGCAAGCCATCCATGATGGACAAGCTGAGTAAGTCTTCCCCATGCGGTTGAAAGTTGGATTGACACTGACAAGACACTCTAGACCCCAAGAAGGACGCTGACCACGACGGCAAGACTGGCATCATGGACTAGATTTGTCGTCGTCTTTTTGCCATCTCACTCGTAGTGTGTTGCGAGAGCAAGTCACATGGTGGTTTTGATGGTGTGATTTGCATGAATACCCCTAAGTAGCGTAGTAGCTCAATGAATAGTAATCTCCCTGTCAATTTGGTTCTGTCGCAGTGCTCGCTCTTGATGAGCCATGTTATACTTGTCTGTTATATGCATCCATGATGCTGTTAACGTAGATCTGTGATTTCGCATGTACTCGCACATGGGGTATATCCTCGTCAGTGCACTCAGATCAGGTGTATATACTCCGTGCAATGGTGTCGAAATTATAAGAAGTTTGATTAGGGGGTATCATTACTTTTTGCACAAACTCGCCAATGCATACGGCGACCACTCGCTCGCCGTATGACGGGAGTGAATTCAAATATTCAGAGGTTTCGAGATGTGTCGCACAGCCCAATGGACTCTGTGAAAACCCATGGCCATGAAATCACTTGGCTTTTCCCTTGCCCCCCTTCCTGTTTCCTTTACCACCAATCCCTTTCTTCTTGGTTTGGTTCAACGAGCCATCAAGAAGCGCGCTAAAAGTCTCACTCCGCGTCTTGGGCGCGCGATCTGGGGTCGGCACTACAGGCTCGTCTTCCTGTGAGTTTTGCGTCGAAAGCCTCTTGTTCCTCGTCCTCGTTACGCGCTCCTCTGCTCTTGAGGGTGTTGCAAGGCTGACTGTGTCCAAGTCCTGCCTGGTCTTTGTTGTCTTGTTGTCTCTCTTTGCGGGGCGACGGCGCTTTTTGGGCTGCGGTGTGGCGGTATCTGGCGCGGGTTCTTGTTGCAATTCGGCAGCTGCGTCGACGCGAGCTTTCTTGGGAGCCGGCTCTGCTTGGTCGGAGCCTTGCAGGACGTGGCTGTCCGAATAGTCCTCCTGAGCATTGAGCTCATCGACAGCCCTCTTGCTGGACGTGGCGTCAGTAGACTCGAGGGCGTTGCCGTCGGAGTCGAATTTCTTGTTGATGTTTTGAGCCTTGAGGTGGGCGCGGGCCTTCTCCTTGGCCATGCGCTCCTGCCGCTCCAAGTCGTACCTGTCGTTGCCAGCCAGGCCGTGGTTGATGAAGCGTTGGGCGGCGCCAAGGTCTAGTCGCGCTCTGCCCTCGGCGCTGCCCATGACGCCGCGGTCCTTGATGTGCTTGATCTTGCTGTTGTACTGCTTGAGACGGGCAATTTCCTTGAAGACATGGTGTTGCGTGGCATTGACGCCCGACGCCTTGAGCACGGAGAAGAGAATAGCTTCGATGGCGTATGCGGACATGCAGTAGAACTCTGCCTTGTCGAGGAGCGGGAGAGAGGACGCGGTCGTGTGAAGAGGCGCGGCCAGCAGAGGGTCGAGCGCGGCGGTGAGCTCATCGATGTTGACTTCGAGGTCCTCGACGAGGTCGGGGAGGTCGGTCTGCGGGTCCATGGTGGTGATGGAGGTCAAGCAGCGGTCGCATGCGCACGCCAAAGAAAAGCAGCGGGCCGAGCGCTCCGACGTGCAAGCGTCGGATCGCTCACAGCAGACAGCCTCACTCACTAACTCGCCTCGGCCCCGAAGCCCATGGGAATCCCAAGTCGTTCAAGCTGTCGTTCTCCTCCGTTTCACCCTTTCTCCCCAGGCTCCGGCCTCGGATACCACACGCAGCGTCACGATGCGCCGCGCCTTCGGCTCAGACGAGAGCCTTCCTCCACACGGCCGGCTTCTATCGCAGACAGCCTGTACTCGACCGACGCATTCACATCATCGGTGTCGGCAACGTGGGCAAATTCATCGCCCACGCCCTGCGCGGCATACCCAACCCTCCTCCAGTAACGCTGGTCTTCGGGGGCTGGCAAAAGTTGAACGAATGGAACGACTCGCAACGCCGCCTGGCCCTCGTCACCGACGGCCGTGTCGACACCAGAGACGGCTACGATGCCGAGCTAGCCATCCCCCGTCTTCGCTACCATGGCCACGAGGTCGGCCTGAATCCCTCCTCGCTAGACACGACCCAAGGCCCTCAGATGCTGCCTGGCGAGTCTGCTGAGCCCATCAGCTCGCTCATCGTCTGCTCCAAAGCCCCCCATGTCCTGCAGGCCATCTCCGCCGTAAAGCACCGGCTGCACAACCACTCGGTCGTCTGCTTCCTGCACAACGGCATGGGCGTCATCGACCAAGTCAACGCCGCCGTCTTCCCGGACCCTGAGCACCGGCCACACTATATGCTCGGCATCAACTCTCATGGCATGCACGCCTCGCCACACAGTCGCTTCACTACTGTCCACGCTGGTTTCGGCACCCTCTCGCTGGGCATCCTACCCCACCAACGAGACGGCCATGCCAACGAGCCCTACACCCCCGACTTAAGATTCTCCGCATCAAGACATGGCAAGCCCGTCTACCCGCACCCTCCCGACAAACTCAATCCAGAGTACCCACCCCCAAGGAGCGCCAAATTCCCCTTCACGCCTAACCAACGCTATCTACTCCGCACCCTCCTCCGCACTCCAGTACTAAGCGCAGCCTCCTTCTCGCCCCCCGATCTCTTGCAAATCCAACTCGACAAGTTGGCCGTCAATTGCATCATAAACCCCCTAACCGCCCTCCTCGACGCGCGCAACGGCGCCATTCTGAACAACTACGCCTTGACCCGCACAATGCGCCTCCTCCTATCCGAGATAAGCCTCGTCATTCGCTCCCTCCCCGAACTCCAATACATTCCCAACGTGTCCCAGCGCTTCGACCCAGGCCGCCTTGAAACCGTGGTTGTGGCCGTTGCACACCGCACCAGCGACAACGTGAGCAGTATGCTAGCCGATACGCGTCAGGGTGCGCACACCGAGATTGACTATCTCAACGGCTGGATTGTGAGGCGAGGCGAGGAATTGGGTATTCGATGTGCCATGAACTATATGGTTATGCAGTTGATCAAGGGCAAGAGTATGGTGGTGCAGCATGACATGGAAGAAGAGCTTCCCCTGGTAGGGAGTAAGAAAGGGGGGAGGGCCGAGGCGGACTTGGTGATTAAGAGGGATGGCGCGGAAGCCCACAAGAAAGGCACACCGTGAGACGGCATTCGTCTTTGACGCTACGGCCAAACCTTTTGCACAGTTCGACTTCACAGCGCTCCAAGGGCTATCAGAATCAATACTATATACAATCCGCAGAGCAGAATGCGCCATCAGTCGCCATGTCCATGTCCCTAGAGCGTAGATCTGCTTATATCCCGGCTTCTGATGATGCACATGTCCACCCAAGAGCCGGTAGGCATAACAGTAGAGCAACCGAAAGAATAGTAGCGTCCTTGTAATTCTCTCGATACCAAAGAAGTAAACGACAGATTGCGATTAGTAGAACTGCAGGCGATGGACATGGTCAATGTGTATATTTCTTCTCCTACTCTTCATCGTTTCTCTTTCTTGTCCTATCTTCCAAGAGCTAGTATTAGATAAAGCTATAGTACATTATGTGTAAAGACACACATCCAACATGTTTAGTCAACCAGACCAATAATACTCCTGCCCACCGCAAACCCTTCCCCCAAAGCTTCTTAACCAGAACAAAAGACTACCAGAAGAACTCCCGGTATCCATCAAACTCAAGTTCCCACCATCCCGAGACGAGAACTAGCAGCGAAGATACCTCTCTTGCTATGTGTATATCCGACAGTAACGGGTCCGTAAACCTACCCCTCTAACAAGCCACTGAAGATGCTCAACAAGTAAAGAAAAACAACCAAAGCATTCGCCTCTTACTCGCCGTATACAAACGTCAACTAGGATAGTGTAACATGATTGAATAAAAGAGTAATGGTCGTGTAAAACTCCAAGCACAAGACCGGCAAACAGCGAGTTACCCAACAAGAATCAGCCAGTTACTGCATCATGAATGGCTCAGTCGAAAGCACCAGGCATGCTCGTACCGGGCATCCTCAAACTAAGTCTACTGCCACTGGCATCCTTCTCTCTGCTCGGCACAGCAGGTGCAGGGTTCGAAGAGGAGCGTTGACGCTGTAGGCGCGGATCCTCCAGCTTCGTCATTTCCTGTTCCTGTTCAGAGACCGCTGTTGCTTTCCTGGTATCGAGAGACTTGTTCACTTCGTCTTGGAGTTGAGCTTCAGCTTGCTGTTCAATATCCTTTTCCTCTTCCACTGTCAATGAGGGTATTGACGGGGCTGCAGTGACAGACTCATTCTGACTACCGTGGTGAGCTTCGGCTGACGATGTTTCGGCTTCCGGATTGGCGATTGTCTTGGACTCTGAGGTCAAAGCGTCGTTGTGCTTCAAAAGGACCGTCTTGCCAATGGAAATTCTCTTGACCTTATCACCGCTTTTGCTCCGAAAAGGGTCTTCATCGCTCTTCCTTGGCTCATTCGCCATCGACGCAGCAGAACCACCTGCTGTGATGTCTCGAGGCTCAAACGACATGATGCTCTCTTCACTCATCCTCTCCTCAATCTTCACATCGCTGTTCGTGAATGTGGGACTGCGTGGGCCATCTCGCAAAGGAACGAAGGAAGGAACCACACCGCCACCAACGCGAGTCCAGAACATGCGTTCGCGAAGTCGCACACTCTCTTCCCAGGTCGACTTCTTTTCTTCGTCCGTCTCTGCGCGCCAGTGCCCCGCTGCTACCATGCGTAGGAAACCAATGTAGTCGCACGTTGCCCGAACGCGACCCAGACACCAGTCACACAAGGGGTAGCGCTGAGAGTCTTCAGTATCGGAGGGCTTGAATCGAAATTTTCGGGCGTACTGATCACCATTCCTTGCTTCGCCACAAAGCGAGCATGGAAAGATGGGAACCCGAAATTTGGATGGAGGAGCAGGGTTCGGCTCTACGACCAGGGAACCAGAAGTGATGCTGTTCAGTACCGTGCGGCGTGCCATCCATGAGAGACCGGGGGCGATATCCAGACGCAGTGTTGGCTCTATGTCCTCGACCAGAGCACGTTTATAGAACTTCTCGTCCTTGAGGTTGGGCATACCAGCAGTGGCTACAGATTCGCGAGGTGAGTTGGTAGCCGAGGTGGGCGACTTGGAGGGCAGCGACGTGGTGGAGCTGTTGGTCAGTGATGCCAGTCCCAGCACATTCAGGCTGCTGTAGTTGCCGCTGGATGCGCGACTTGCTGGGGCAGAGGAACGGGCGCTGATCTTGAGCATGTCCTGAAACTCGTTGAAAGCGGCAAGATCGGAGCGTAGTACGGGATGGATAAGATGGGAAAAGTGGAGGGGATGATCGGGGCTGATGTCGTCGGTTCCCGGCGTGGTGGGTGTCAGGTTCATGGCCTCGAACAGCTTGCTCATCTTGTCGGCCGGAGCGATGCCTGGTGTTGACGGAGCGGTGGTTGCAGTGAGAGCGTGGCTTTCGTTGTCGTCGCCATGAGAGCTCATCCTCTCGACAACGGCCTTGAGATCGTGCAGCTGGTCCTGGAGGGAGTGTTGCAGGACGTCAGCGTCGCCCAACTGCTGCTTGAGTTGCTCGCCGCGTTTCTCCGAAGCCTCCGTCTCTTTGCGCGCAGCTGCAACCATGACGTTGGCCTCTTCGAACAGGGCAGCCGTCAGGGCCTCGACTTCGCTGTCCGTCTTGCGCTTGGCAGCTTCTGCGTGGGCTCTGCGTTTGCGCTCCTCGCGCAGCTCCGTGGACAGCTGCTTCTCCATCTTGTCGTAGACGACCTTGTCCACCAGCAGCCCCGTGGAGAGCTTGGCCTCATGGGCCTTGACCTGGGCCTCGAGGTGGGCCAGCTTCTCGCGCGCGGCGTCGAGCTCGTGTCTCGTCTGCTGCAGTGCATCGTCGAGCATGGTGGAGTGATTGATGGCGTTGATGAGCTTGGTGCTGAGGGTCGAGACTTCCTGGCTGAGGTCGGGGTGCGAGTCGGTCGAGTCGTGGCGCGACAGAGGCGGCTGTGGAGTGGCCGAGCGCGGGTCGGGGATGGTGTTGATGCCGTCGCTGTCGGACTGCGATTGCGACTGGGCGGTTTTGGCGAGCTGTGGTGTCGACATGGATCGTGTGACATGGCTCTTGGGCATGGGCGACAGAGAGCGCAGTCGCGAGGGCGTCATTGCACCTGAGCCGTGGACCCAGGGGGCCGAGTGGGCTATGAAGCTGGTGGGAGAATGGACGTTAGCGATGGCCCACGCAGCGCCTCGCTCGGCCAACGTGGACGTACGAGTACTCGGCCATGGCAGATGGCGATGCAGGCAATGTGCTATGTCGTCGCAGGCATGACAGATTCCAACCGAGCGAAACAGCACGAGGGCGCGGCCGGCCGACGGGGTGGACAAGGAGTGACGTGACGAAGAGCGTCTGACAAACACTGCGTGGTGGACCTTCAAACAACGACGACGACGACGACGACGACGACGACGCTCGCGTCGGGCGCCTACGCTCAGATCGCCTCCCAAGCCCCCGCGCGCGCCGCCGCCAATCACACACAGGCCATCCCGCCGCCCGCGCCCGCCCTTGCCTGCTGCAGGCCTGCTTTTCTGCACCGCCACACCCAAGTGGCTGACACGGACACTGTCGCACGCTGATCCAATCCACTTTGGTCACCATGGCAAACACGCCAACCACGAGCAAGGGATACGCATACTCCATTCCACACTAGCTTACATGCTTCATCCCCAAAAGGCTGCTTGTTCAAACGCGACACAAAGAGAAAAGAAAACGACTGACATTATCGCATCGACGTCTCGCACCCCGTCATGACAAGCCGCGAGCCAGCGGTGAATTCCCCCATGTTGTCCACCATGTCTTTCCCCCCTTCGACCTTTCCGCGCTTTCTCCAGTGCTGTTGCCTGTGACGTCCACATAAAACAATGCTCTGATATCCGCCCTCTTGTGTCGCCGCCAACCATGCCAAACGCCAAGGCTAGCCACCGTCGTCGTCGTTGAATCGTCCGGGAAAGAGAGGGCCGACCGTCGTGTCCTTTGTCGTCGTGTGCGTGTAACGGTACTGGAATGGCAAGAATCAACGACAGGATTGTGTACAAATGCCAACGGCCGTCCGCAAGCCCATGGCTGAAAGGGGGTAAGGAAATCGAGATGGAGCGTGTTTCGCGTCGTTCGGCATCGGGTCTCGGGGGTGGGCTAACGATTGCCATCGTCTAACGACGCCCAAACCTGCTGTAAGAGAAGTTCGTATTGATTCTGAATGAGTGTGGTGATGGCTACTTCTAGCTTTTCTTGGTGCGAGGAGACGCTGCTCTGCCGCTGCCAAGGCTGGGGACGTACTTTTGTTTCTTCTCTGCGGGCTTGAGAATCTGCATACCCCATTAGTACCTGTTCGACGTAACCTTGTGCGCCTAGAGCTTACCTGGAAGGAACACAGCAGACTCTCGTCAACGCTCATCATCGCGCCAGCGTTGTCAAATTCACCGCAGTAGTTGGGTGCGCTGAACAGTGTGACGAGCTGGCGCTTGGAAAAGAACTCGTAACCGTCTTCGACAACTTGGTGCGCACGGCAGATAAGGTCCATGTCATGCTTTTGCAGGAAGCGCGACACTACGTCGGGCCCGAATGTGAAGCTCACACCTCGGTCATTCTCGCTCCATCCGGTAATGTCCTTGTCTGGGTCGGACCAGAGAAGGTCGCAGAGGAGACCGCAGTCGGGAATCTGTCCTTGTTAGCCTGTACGCTTCATGGACACTGCAGTTGCAGTTGCAGTTGCAATTTGAGCCTGACTCACGTCCGTGGGTCGCATGACGCGCCTGATCTGTTCCATCGAGTTAAGGTCTGGGCTGAGACCGCCGTGCATAGTGAAGATCTTCTCGTCGATGATGGCGGCAATGGGTAGGCAGTTGAAGCAGTCGGTAAACGTCTTCCACAGCTTGATGTTGTATCTTCGTTTGCACTCGTCGTAGAAGCCGTAGATGCGGTTGATGGAGGCGCACTCGTGGTTGCCACGGAGGACGAAGAAGTTCTCGGGGTACTTGATCTTGTACGCCAGCAGAAGGCATATCGTCTCGAGAGACTGCTTGCCACGGTCGACGTAGTCGCCTAGGAAGAGGTAGTTGGCCTCTGGAGGGAAGCCGCCGTACTCGAAGAGCCGCAGCAGATCATAGTACTGGCCGTGGATGTCTCCGCAAATCTGGAAGGCAAAGCAGTCAGTAGGTGCTCAGAAGCCAGATCTCGGGCTTCGCAGCACTGCGCGTTGTGACTGACCTTTATCGGTGCCTCGAGCTCGAGCAGGATAGGCTGTGAGATGAAGATTTCGCGTGCCTTGGTGCATAGATAGCGGATCTCCGTCTCGAGCAGCTGTACCTGTTTGCCAGGCCGGCTGCCACGGACCTCGAGCAGACGGTCTATGATGGAGTCCAGGTCCACCTCGTTCTCGGCCATAGCTGGGACTTGCTACTGGCACTGGTGTGGGTGGCTGAAGGTGCAAGGGAAGACCTCGCGCGGGTGGGTGGGAGAGGGCTGCGCGTAGCACTGGCGGTGATTCTCCTGCACCGGGCGTGTTAGCAGTGCCCTATGCCTTGGGGGCTCCAATGGGAACGCCGACGTACCTCTGATCTCAAAGAGTCGGCCGGATCGGGTCGTGGGTGGTCGACGCTATGGGCGGGTGGAGTATGGCTCAAAGCCCCTCAAAAGCGCCTGGCGGCAGAGCTGGGATCACGCGACGAGTGGGGCGGCTGCGATGTGCGCTGGTCAATTGTGCTTGTTGAGACGGCGATACCTGTGCGGGCTGCTGCTGCGTCGTGGGCAGGCGAGTGCGGTGCAGTGGGTGGGGGGGCCGCTGAGGCGTTGTTGTGACCGGAAGCCTGTCGAGTGGGATGCTAAGAGTAACTTCACCGCCTGTAGCAAGCGGGGACGGTCTGGCTGCGAGGACACTGGGGGCGAACGGCGTGCGACTGCTCAACACAGTATACCTATGGGATCGCGCGCGAAGTGTTTGTATACGCTGATTTGTAGGCCGGGTTGGGTTGCGGTGGTGAGAGGATCGCGCCGCCCGAGTAGTAGTTTTGCAGCGTTTCAGTTAGTCCTAGGCCGGGGCTGCCTTGGCACCAGAGCGTGCTAGCCCAACACAGACGCGCGTCGGACCTGGGAGAGGTTGCAGACGTCTCGACTGCCTTGCGGAATCAACTGTAGAGGGTGCAATTGTTCGCGAGTCTCTGATCTGCGCAAAGCTTCTGGCTTGGGTGTATCTACTCCTCCAGCTATTGCCGAAGCCCTTCACTCTCACCCCGTTTCCAACCCAGTCTTTGCCTGTGTTTGCCGTCTCCAATCAATGTCCCACTTGAGCGCCGGCAGCACCTCACGCGTTACATACATCTTACATGTCGCAGTAGTCAACAATACATGCTGAACGTGTGCACCATGTGCGAGGAAACTGCTATTGTATTTGTAGTCATGTGAGCATTCACTGCTAATGCGCGCTTCATGATGCAATAGATCAACCAACGCCTGCCTTCTTCCTTGGGCTCCCTCACCAGAACGTAGACGACGCTAACAAGCAACACAAAGGGAACAAGAAGCTACGCACTCATCGCCAAAGGTAACGGGCAACCAACCTACAGTGCGCCGGCATAGAAGTTATCTTACACTATCCATTCAACCAGGAACATGGCCGTTATGCTCCCAGAGGAGAACACGCAGAAATGCAACACGACCGCCTGTTGACAAGGGAGAGGAAGAGATGCCGCCGATAAGGTCGAAACAGCCTCGGAAAATGGTCTCGATCGGTCCCACGAGCGTGACAAACTGCGACGCTCAAATTCGACTTACATCTATCCAACGCCTTGCCCGAAGCCCCGTGAATGAATTGATGAACAAACTATATAGACAAAAGCGTCCGCTTCCGGAAGCTGCAGTGCGAGTCTGGCAAAGCGAACAAATTGTTTTGGGTATCGCAAGTGGACAGATCGGGGGAAATTAGGTCAGCCAAGTGTACGACCAGAAACGATGCTTTGGCTCGGTGTACGAGGTAGTGTTGGCCGCATGGTAGGGGAGCTATACCCACGATCCGAAGGAAAACTATTGACCGATGTGGTGTCCCAGCTCTCGTCTCCTAGCGCGCTAAGCCATGTGTTACCGAAGTCTTGCCGAAGGGCTTCGATCTTCTTCTTGTACAAGTCCTCGCTGACGTCGAATTCCGTTGATTCCGGATCGGCGGTTTTGGTCGGGGGTGCGGTATCGATTGAGGGCAACTGTTGGTGGCTTGTGTGAGGTTCGTGTGCGACTGTACGCTCCTCTAAAATACTCTTCTTGGTAGGATCTCCAGAAACTTGTCCCTTGGACGGCTCTACAAGCCGGGGCGTATCCGTGGCCAATGTGTTGCTTGCAGTCTTCGTGATCTTAGGGGCTTGTCCGACGACAGTATCCTCGTATGCCAACCCTGTCAAACTAGAGTGCGATGACGACTGCAGCGAGTCGGTCTGAGAGAGCTCGACAATTCTCCTTTTAGGGCCCTTCTTCTTCTTTTGGGAACCTTGTGCACTGCGCCCACTCTTGGTACGTTGCAGGGAACCGGTACGCTGAAGCACACCTGTTATGTCGGAGGAAGTATCGACAGATTTGACAACCTTTGGTGGTACGTGTCGCGGGGGTTGCGAGTCATCCTCGGGTGGCGGCTTAACGATGGGAACACCATGGCGTTCGGGAACTCGGTCAACGAGTTGCTTCTTCTCGGCATTGCTAGGTCCTACAGAATCGATGACAATATCTTCCGTATAGCCTGGCGTCTTGCGGAACAGATTGAAAATGGTCACTCTGTAGGTGGAGTGCGTTTTGCAAAACGGATTGCGATTGACATAGATATCAGTTATGTCGGGAACGCCAGTCAGTCGCGCAACTTCTGTAGGATCAGTCAACCTGTTATCACGGAAATCGACCCGCTCCAGAGATAGCAGTCGCTCAACACCAGCCAACGATGTCAAGCGGTTGGAACGAAGGTTGAGCGTCGTGATGGCTGGCAGCGGGTTACGACCCAAAGAGTGCAAGCTGTCAATCATGCAATTGGACAGGTTCAGTGCGCGCAAACAGGTCAGGCTGGCAAGACTGTCAGGAATCTCAGCAAATAAATTGGCAGAAATATCAAGAGACTGTAATGTGTTTGCCAAGGGAGCCAGACTTGCAACTGATATGTTGGTCAGAGCATTGTCGGCCAAGCTCAGATGTCGCAAGAAGCGCCACTTGGTTGCAGGAAACCAGCCCATGGAGAGGAGGTTAGAGGAGCTGCCTCTTGGGGTGGTAGAGCGCACGCTAGAACTAGAACTCCCAGACGAGCGGCGGATGTTGGGTGCATTTGTAGTGCTTCGACCATAGGCATGGGACGAACCATGACGAGAGCTTGGGGGCCGCGTGGGAGAGGTACTGCGCTGTCGCTGGCGCGTCTTGGACGAATTCTCCGGCGCCACGACCGCGCTTCTTGGGCTTGTGCTCTGTTTACTGGCGGAGGTAGGGGAAAGTGGTGGAGATTCTGATGGCGCCAACTGACCAACCTTGGCGGACGGGCTTGCGGTAGACCAAGGCGCGGAAGAAGCGTGTGTCTTTGCCGACCGTCTACGACGCTTGTCCATGTCGTCCAAGACGACATTGATAAGAAGGTCAGCGGGATCGTCAACACCTGCTCGCTTGACAGTAAGACTGCGAAGGTTTTCGGCCAGGCGGTCCCAGCCATAGAATTGCCGAAAGTCTACATCGTGAATCTCAAGCGCAGTGACATTCTTGAAAGCGAACAAAGGGACGGCAGTGTCGAAGGGAAATTCTTCATAACCCGCAATGAGACGGGCTTTGTGGTCAGGAGACAGCCTCAGGCAGGGAATCTTAGTAAATGCAGAGTAGAGATATCGCAAGTCTTCTTGGAGTTGAACTTTCTGTTTCTCTGCCTTGGCTTCACTGTTTGATCCAATGCGAAAGGTGGACCAAAGCGAGGACATGCCTGACATGACACTGCGAACGCTCGACACTGAATGTATGGAGTCGCGGTCGGAAGACTTTGTTTTGCTGCGCTGAGCGCTGCCGAGGAACGAGACATAGTTTGCGGGTGAAGCGTCCGTGTGGATGTTCTCCAGTCGCACATTCATGGGACCAACAGGTATGCCGAGCTCCTCGAATCGTGAAAGGATGTAGAAGAGATGGTGGGGCGTCAATGTGAGCTTGGCTGGCTTGATGGACTGTGAGGTGAAGGTCAGGGACGGCAAAGACAGGGCGGCGGCCCAGACGCTTGACGACGAGGATGAGGGCGGACTAGCGGGGCCGTTGGGAGACGAGGGTGAGATAATGGCCTGGCCATTCTTGGGCATCTGCCGCTGCAGTTGCAGGGCGTTGGCGAGGGCCTTTTCGTGGGTTCGTACAAAGTAAGCCAGGTTCTAGAGCCGTGTCAACGCATGTTCCGAGCAAGGCCAGTCATTGAGAACCGCACCCTTATGAAGACGTGGCCATCCTCGGTATCCATGATGAGAAAGCCGCAGACAACGACGGCTGCATGTAGGGCGCCGGGGCTGTCGTAGCAAAACACGACGTTTACTGGGAGGGAAGGCGCGGTGCGAGGGCCGTGGAGGGAGGGGACGAGGTGCCTCCGGGGCGGTAGCGGCGACCTAGGTACTGCGCCAGTCAGCGAGGCACTGGGGACACAGAGGAGGGTAGAGTAGAGTGAGAGTCAGTCATGGTTGGGATGCTGGCGAAGAAAGTCTTGGCGGCGGGGGTTGGACTCGACCTACGGAGCGCGAGGTAGAAGCAAGGAACTGCGGACAGGCAGCACGATATGCAGCGGCGCAGGACAGAGCTGCCCAGGGCTTCCAAATCCGCAGCACACACAGCGCGGCCAGGCCAGGCGGCGAGTACTGGCGGCGAGCCAAAGACTGGCGCGGCGACTGCGGCAGCGGAGGCGCGGGACGGGCGTGTGCAACAACAGGAACCGACCAAACCAGCGCTGCTTCGCGTTGGGGACGAGCACAACGGTGCTCGACAATGGGCTTGGGTGGGGCTCGGGCAGTCGAGCGAGCACCTGGGAAATTGGATGGCTTCCCCAACACGGCTTGCCGCCTTGGAACGCCCGGTGCTGTCGAGGGGGGCGTTGAGTCTGCGGGAACAAGCAAGCAAGAGACGACGGTGAAAGCGCCGGGGAGCGGCCTTGTTGGAGTGCAAGCTTCGAGGGTCGAGTTTGGCATCAAAAGTCAAGTCAAGAGCTGGTAGACACGTGATTGGCTCGCGCCGCGCACCCTGGAGGAATCTCGCGAGATGTGGCTGCCGTCAATCGTCCCCAACGCCGTGCGACATGCGGGATCCAGCAGTCAAGACACGGCCAGGTGTGCGTGACGTCCGCGCACACATCGAGCAGGAGGCCAAGCACACCGCCCGGCCCGTTTCGTGGCATCGACGTACGCACAGAACCATTGGGTGTTTTTGGGCCTCATACCCTTCGAACACTAGGTGCCCAAGCATCCCAGCCACGGGATTCCCGCATGACTACTCTCAAGAACCTCGCGCACACGTCGCATGCTTGCACTATCGCATGCTCGACTGTCGGTGCAGCTAGTCCATGTCTGCTCTGCAACCCTTCGCTATTCTCCTCTAGTCACATCACGACCGTCGCAAGTCTGCCGCCGAACTGGCGCCATTGGCGGTGAGGCCTCATGAATCCCACTCGACCGTTTCGTCACCTCTCGGTGCAGCGTACCAAGCCCGTACCTCTCCGTCCCTCAAGTCGCTATTCTTTTCTCCTTCCCCGTCTAGCTCGGGATTGACATCACCTCGCATGTGTCCCCTAGACGGCCTCCACCAACACTACTGAACTGACCCACTGGGTACCCGTAGTTTGGGACAAGCTTTTGTAGATATTCCAACTCGCATGAAAATGTTATCAGATCCCTGATATGGCCCTCCAGCAATGCACGTCGTCACATGGACTTGATATCTTTCTCCCAGACTACCATGTACTCATAGCCGCAAACCAACTCTGCGATCTGTCACTCTCAGCATCCCGAGGTCATGTCAGGTAGAAACCACCGCGGCGAAGGTCGAATGAACTGCAAAAGCCAACCCCAATAATAAAAAATGGCATGGCAGATGTTTTCATCACACTCGCGGCATTTGCATCAGCACAGTTCTGACATTTAATTTCTCAAACCCCTCGTGGCATAATAGAGACGCTGGTTGTCTCTGCATCGCATGTGCTTCAATGTCGCCTGGACCGTGCGCATAACATTACCCCACCACCCCACCTCAAAACCACCTTCACAAACACGTACGCCGCAGCCTTACCAATAGCCAAACAACGCTCAGGTCAAACAAGACAAGAAACACGCAATGCTCCTTATAGAGACACACAAAGATGTACCTACCAAGGCAGGTGGTGATATGAGTATGTTACTGCGTGCCCAGGTGTGCCGTCCATGGGTGTCACGAGAAGGTTGTTACACGGAGGCTAATTTGTATGCTCGCCGTCCAGGGGTCTTCATCTTCCACCCTACTATTGCCAACTACCCGAAGGCCAAATTCCCGGCTGTCGTTGTGTTCTCTGAGATATACCAAGGTACATATAGTCGCCTGCTTGCTCGACGTCAAATCTTCTCGTCTACCTCGCTCACCACATGAACCTCATCATTCATCTTTTTACTCTTCAACGACCACCTATGTGTCCCCATCATCCGTCTGCGCTACCTATTTCATCTACTAATTGAGCTTTGACAAGTCACTGGGCCTGTTGCTCGCTTTGCCCGTCAAATAGCCTCCCGAGGCTATATCGTCGCAGCACCGTCCTCCTACCACGAGTTTACCGGCCCCGAGCCTCTAGCGTACGACGGTCCGGGTACAGATGCTGGGAACGAATGGAAAATCACCAAGACAGTCGAAGCATATGACGAAGACGCCACGCTATCCATTGACACACTGCTTGAATTGCCAACGTGTAACGGTCGTGTTGGCGCTACCGGTGCGTTGCCACTATATTTTATCTTGTCTTTATCCAGCCCCATCTCCATTATGCCCCCAAGCTGCAGCGTTCCCATCGATTCAGGCTAACCGCAAGCAGGCATGTGCCTAGGCGGTCATCTAGCCTATCGTTGCGCTTTCGATCCCCGCATCTCCAGTGCAATTTGCTATTTCGCAACCGATATCCACAGCTCCACGTTGGGCAAGGGTAAAAACGATGACTCACTCGCTCGCACCAAAGACATCAAAGGAGAACTGGTTATGATCTTTGGTAAGATGGACACTCATGTCCCAGCCGAGGGTAGGGATTTGATTAGACAGAGATTGCATTCGACTGGAGTAACATTTTCATTCTATGAGCCAGCTTGGGCACAGCGTGAGTTCTGTATCAGCGCCACTACGGAAACAACACTCATACGCTATAGACGCTTTCATTCGCGACGAACTTAGCAAGGGCCGGTACGATGCTGCGTTGTCGGGGATCTGTTTCGAGATGCTCAAGGAGCTTTTCGATCGGACGCTGCGAAGTGACCTCGGGCCAAAGAGTGGTGGTGACGTCGAGGTCGAAGATGTCTGTTAGATTGGACCGGGCAAACGGACGTGGCACACCATGTTGTGATGTTTCTGTCAGGGCACAGTTTGATGGACAAGTGTAAAGTAGCCGTCACGAATAGCTGTTGGGCTTTCTCGCTAGCTTCCTACTAGTAGATATCTCTCTTACTATACTTTATTTGTGTGATAATCAAGGCTGTTCTAAGATGTATATCTCTTACTACGCTGGCACTTGATAGCCAATGAGCTGATGCGGAAGCCGGCCATATACCCACCTGCGCCAAGCCAATGGTGCACTAATAAACGGCTTGAAATCGCCATGTCGATGCCTTCCATCCCCATTGCCTGCCACCACACCCGAGTCTACCTGCAACGCACAACCCACCACCAAATCGCTCAACATGCCTCGTCAACGCTCTGGGACCGCTCCTCCTCGTCGCCCGCAGGTCCCAGCCGCGAAGCAAGCAACCACTGCCCGTGCGCCCGCTCCTTCGCGCCCTCATTCTACGGCGGCAGCTCCCCCACACGCACCAGCCAGCGCTCATGCGCCTCCCCAGCAACAGGCGCAAGCTCCCACGCCGCAGGGACCCGGTCTGTTTGGGCAAATGGCCAGCACTGCTGCGTAAGTAGATCCTGAGCACCCACCTTTGCGCTACCTGTTTGCCACTACGCGGATACTCTCTGCATCCCAACCCGGCCCAATGCACCAACATGCGTTTTCGTCGCTGACCTTCGCAACAGCGGTGTCGCAGTAGGTTCCTCTATCGGCCACGCTGTCGGAGGCTGGTTCGGAGGCGGTTCATCTGCCCCCGCCGAAGCTTCGCCTCAGAACACCGAGTTCTCTGCCCAGCACCAGCCCGCCGACACCGCATCCGCCCAAATGGCGCAGTCCGGTCCTTGCGCAAACGATGTTCAGACCTTTCGCAAATGTATGGATGAGAACCAAGGTAGTCTGACTATCTGTGGTTGGTACTTGGACCAGCTCAAGGCGTGTCAAGCGGCGGCTGGCCAGTACTAGTGGAACGGACAGGGTGGCAATGTACTGGTACAGCATAGATAGCGAACATGGCATATTTCTCCATCATGGTCAATCTCTAATATAGCATCAAATGGACAACGCAATTACCTTGGTTGATTCAACATACAGTCATCCTCCCCTGCACCGGTCCCCCTCAATATCCCCCTTCATCTCCGGAAACGTGTCAAAGAATCTTTCGTCTACCGACCAATACTTCAGATCCCCGTGGTATCGCTCAAACAGAGGACTGGGGTAGTGGTTTCCACTGCTATCATCGAGGAAGAAAGCGTCTTCAATGGGAAAAGGCCAGTCGAAGCGCAGATAGCGCGAGTAACAGCATGAGAGATCGGTGTTTTGGAAGATCGTGGCATGGTTATTCAAGAGGCGGGAGCGGAGGGTGGGCCAGGCGAAGAAGTCAAGGGCGATGGGGTGGGCCGTGGATGACTGTGAGAAACTGATCGTAGTGTCAGACGGACGGACGGACAGACGAAGGAGTGAACTCGGCTCGCGTGGCATAAGGGAATGCATGCGGGTGGGTAGCTAGGTGAGAAGGTTACCTTGGACGGAGCCAGTCGGGTACTCTGTCTAATTCTTCTTTTCTTGCGTTCAGATAATACTACCGTACGCAGGTTAGCTTCCTGATTTGCATGCTTCATGCATGGTGAGCTGGCGTCGACGTACCTTGAGCAGTTTGAAGCTCTTATACGCCACAGCCAGCCTCTCTACATTGGGTAAATGAACAAACAGCAACTCGTCGACCTGTTTCAGAATAGTAAGCGCTGGACTTTTCTTCCATTCCAACGAGGCTAAGCTGTTCCAACCCTGCTTTATGCCAGCGTATAGAAGTCCTGCTTCTGCGATATCGACCGGCACTAGATTGTGGCACGAAGATGAATACTTGTCAGAATTGCCTGAGTAACGACGATTGTAGGTAAAGACTTTGCCAAAGAGTTCGTTGCTCTTTTTCCAAATAGGGCAAATGGAGGATGAGGCTAGGGGGGTGGGGTTGTCTGGGTTGCCAATGTGGAGGATTGTTGGAGAGGGACAACGCCAGTTTGGGCCGAAAATCTGTAGGTAGTTCTGAGTCAGCCAGGGAAAGAAGACGATGATTAACATACTTCTTCCATCATGGGCGCCCATGTTGCTGTAGCTGATGCATGGGCCCAGTGCTGGCCTCCTCCCTTTTCTTCTGCTGAGCTCTTGTGTACAGGCGGGAGAACGGGCTCCAAGCTAAGTGGTTGATTCGACCCCACAGGCGGCGGAAATAGATCTGGCATTACTGTCATACCATCAAGATCGAGCGAGCGCATTGTTTCAGAAGAACTATGGGTGGTGGGCTGGTCGATGGGCGCCGGCAGAGATGCAGGTGGTCTCGTCACACTGCTAGACGAGACAATGCTTGGCTTAGGCGATTGCTGCCCTAGCATCAAAAGTGAGTCAAGGGTCAGTGCTAGAGATTTATGCGTACCGGCACTCGTCGCAGCGAGAGGAGTGTCCTCATCGTCACCATCATCAGCGAGGTATGGTGGTACGATCGCCGCAGCGGTCTTGCTCGACACCCCAAGGTCCAGCCCCACCACACTCTTGACGCTATCGATGACATCCCTCAACTGCTCATTTTCCGCTCGTAGATTATCAATCTCGGAGAGCAGACTCGACGTAGCCCCGTTACGATCTTGATCGCGAAGTATCTGGATTGTTCGTTCCAATTCCGCGATGTGCGTTTTGGTCTTTTCTCGCAGTGAGCGTTGAGCTTCACGGTCAATAGCTCTTTTCCGTTCGCGACGCTCTTGTTCTCCTAGGCAGGAAGCACGTCGTTTTCGCTTGGCGACGGTTGCAACGGGTGGTTGAGTTAGGGGAGCCGCTGCATCGCTAGCTCGTCGGTTCACCATGGCAAGATATCGGGTATGATGTCAAAGCAGGGTATTCAGTTCTCTATTGAATCGTGCAGTTCAAGTTAGTAGAATGTCAATGTCTTTGAGTCAACAATCTTTCCGGACTAGATACTCCATTATAAACCGCTTTAGTAGCGCCTGCCTCGGGAGTTTCCTTTGACATCATGTCGAGCTAGCGCTACCCGAGCGCTGTCATGCGGGGAGAGGTGGGGTTATGGGGCGCATGTAGGATGCATGCGATGACTACCTCTTCCCACATACCTAGGTACTGTGCTAACTCTACCTGGCTTGGTTCAGCAGCCTCGTAAAATTTGGTGCGAAGCTATTGGCCGAGCACACCGTGTGCTAGGAAAAGCATCACCGAAGCTTGCCAACATATGCACGATGGGTAACATTCACCCACGTAGAATGAAGACTTGTTCAATTACCAGAACGAACAGATAGGTAAGAAAAACTAATTATACCAGAACAGTGCACGGGAGTTGCCTATTCAAGATAGCAAGCTCCATACCTAGGTACTGCAGTCACGTCTACAGCTTGGAAGGTCGCCAATTCGGTCTCCGCTTCTCTGCAAAAGCCTTGAGCCCCTCTAGCGCATTATCCCCCGCGTTCAAGCCATGGTTATACTGCTCAATCGTTAGTTGAGTAGCCCGCTCCACGCTCCCGGTTTCCCAAGCTTCCTTCAGCGCCGCTCGTGTGACGATTGCCGAATCGGGTGAGATGGCCGCGATTTCATTTGCCAGTTTCAACGCCTCTTCCACTACTGTGTCTAGGGATGACGATATGCGATTGACGAGGTTGAGCTCTTTGGCTCGTTGTGCGGTGATGGATCGGCCTGTCAATGCCATCTCGGATGCGATGGGAAAGCCTACGTTGCGGACTAGACGTGGTGGACCTCCTGCGCCGGCGAAGATGCCACGGAGAGCTTCTGGGAGCCCAAAGGTCGCGTGAGGTGCCGCCACCACCATGTCGCTGTGAAGCCGCTGATCAGCAGCCTGTCTCACTCTCAAATTCGTAACGAAGCGCGACGTACCAGCCCAGAACAATCTCGAACCCTCCACCCAGCGCAAACCCATTGACAGCAGCGATAACCGGCTTCTTTCCCATCCTTCTGCTCAGCCCCCCAAACCCACTCACAGGGTGTCGCATCATACCAGGACTTGCTTTCAGCTCCCCGCTCCTTATCTTTCCGAGTTGAATGAGATCTTGCCCGGCGCAAAAGCTCTTCTTGCCTGCTCCTGTGACAATGGCAACGCGGAGGTTGGGCTCGTGGTCGAACCAATCGAATACTTGGCCCATTTCAAGGTGTCCTTCGAACGGTATGGAGTTCATTTGTCTTTCGCGGTTGATTGTAACGAGGAGGACATAGTCGGCTGGATAAGAGAGGACGACGTGGGAGGTGGGAGGTGGCGTTGTTTGGCAGTTGACGGATGTCATGTTGGGCAGGGCCGGGCAGGACGGACGAGACGGTCACTATCTAGGTATGAACCGTTTGTGTGAGGCCACATTTGCGACTGCTTTCGCTAGAAGTATTCAAAGGTATAGACAGCCCAAGTTTCTGAGAGAAGCTACCTAATTGCCGATAGAACGAAGATGGATAAGCCTGCGAGTGCTGGAGCCGAGGTGTCTTCCCCGCACGACGCTAATTCGGTAATGTTTGGCTCGTCTGTCACCAGTGTGCCCATGTCGCTCGGTTCAGTGCCTCGACAATTGTGCCAACAGCTTCAAATCACATTGCGATTGATACCTCTTCTACCATCTCCTCTTTCGCCAGCGGCAGGGTCGTTTTCAAGACGCTGTCAGCATCCACACGTAAGCACGCGCGACGATTGGCCTGTGCAAGGCCGAACAATGGCTTGAACGAGAAAGCCTCTACTCTGGGGCCATGTCGCGGTGTCTCTAGACGTTGGAGAAGTGGCCTAGGCTCGGCAACATGGAGTTCCGGGACCGTTGTACTTCGTAGGCGGCCAGGGCGTAAGAGCTACCAACTGAGAAAGAAGCTCCGTACAGTGGTAGGCCCGTGAGGGAACGACAAATCCGTCACCCTTTTCTACTATGCCCTCATGCCTTCATCCAAGATGGATTCATTGTGCGCTCGATACCGGTTCTCCGTCAGACACGGACATCCGGTGCCCATGGTGAAGCACGAGCCCGATTCTTCGTGCGCTCGGTCTCGGGAATTTATATCCGGTGCCTAGGTTTGCTACTGAAAGTTGTCGCTGATTCGATGGCATAGAGATTGTCATTGCAGGAGGACCGATATTGCGGATACGATATATATTGGGCCGAAAATAACCCGGTGGTCGGAGGATGCTAGTGTATGACAATTGGGTCGGTTGCCCAGTCATTGCTGGCCCTTTTTTGGAACCCCCTGCATGCAGACGGTGGGGTCTGGTTTCATCACCTTGTCTGCAGCGAGATTGTCCGCGTCATAGGTAGGCTCTAGGCGTCCGGCGGTCTGAGGCTTGCAGAAGTCAAAGCGTCTAGCATTTAAGGCAGCAAACATTACTACTTAAGTAGCGTAGCGTAGCTGTGCAAGCAACAACAATCAACCTTTATCTTTATTATTCTGCACCCGAGCCTTCTCTACATTATCATTGTATCGTTCTTCCCAGAAACCAACCATGGCTCCAAGTCGTAAAACGAGCAGGAAGCCACGCGCGAAGCAACCCCGTCGGACTGTTGCCTCAACGCGTTCCCCGACAGCTCCCCCTCTTATACGTGTCCAACGTAAATTCGGCGACAAGACAAAGCCATCGCTAAAACGCTATCTCGCCAAGGTTCTGAAGTCCATCCGTTCCTCGATGCCTCCTACGCCTGATGTATGTAGAGGTCCAATCCCTGACATCAGAACCCGACTCGACAAGCTCCGCAAAGACAACGAACCGATCTATCGCGACCTTGCCGCCACATCCTCCGGAGTCAAAGAGGAAGTGGACCCCGACCGAGAGTCTGTCATGCGCCAGTCAAACGTCGAGACGCTCCTGAACCACCTCTCTGCCGGCCGAATTGCCGTTGGTCACCACGGCTGTTGGATACCAACGGAGGCTTCAACGCCCACAGACCCATTCGGGGGGCGACACATATCTGAGCAGATCAGCATCACAGCAGGTGGTATGACCGAGAGGTTCCAATCCAATCGCCTCGTCTTGAAGGTCATTGGATGTGAGCATCTGATGTGGAACAAGGATGTGCAGGGGTCCCACTTGTGTGGGCACAGTTCGTGCGACAATCCCTTGCACATCGTGTGCGAGTTGCGTTGCTTCAACATGCAACGGATATTGTGTCCGGGTAGCTGCCAATCAGACGCTGGCGATTACATTTGCGATCATGGCCCAGAAGGCTTCCAATGCTTCGGGCATTTGAACTGCCCAAGTACCTGCGAAGTCGGCCGGAATATACAGCAGAAATTGTACAAGGTTTTCGACGACGAACAGCGCCGCCTGGCGACGGAAAGAGCGAAGACGGCGAGGAAGAGAGCAGAGAAGCGTATCGCTGAGGAGGCAGAAGAGCAACTCAAAGCCGAGCGCAAAGAGGAGGACGACCGAGTCAAGGCGGCAGCGAAGGCGGCACTGTTTGCAGCCAGGGATGCTCAAAAACAGAAGGACAAGCCAGCCAGGAATGCGCAACAAAAGACGAACAAGCGAACCAAGGTGGCGAAGAAGGGGGCGGACAAGGTAGCCGTGAAGAACAGGTAGACACGATAAGTGGTAACACATGAGCGCCGGTGTGTGATGGAATTTGAGAGAATGACGAGCGCACCTTGATACAATATCGAACTGCATCGATTGATGCAGACGCAATCAGACAGGTAGCCTTAGTTCACGTAGAATCAAGAAAATTGGAGTGTACTTTGGTTGTTGGAATCGAACATTGCTGTGCGTTACATTGAAGCTTTGCACTGTCTCTTATCATGTGTGCGTTCTTCCCCGCACGTCACGACCGTGAGCCTTGGGTGGTGGGCTAAGCAGCTAACCTAATGGGTTACATCAGCACCTAGGTACCGTGGTTGTTAGCAGAGCATGTACGAATGGGGCAGGAGTGAACATTGGATCGTTTTATTATTTGTCGCGTGCTCAACAACTGCCACAGGCTATCACATTAACCTGAAGGCGCTACCACGCTGCTGCTCGGTAAACCATGCAGACCCGGCAGATCTGTTGCACGCTTCATTGGTATGCATGTCGTGACATTTTTACTCAGTCGTACATGCTGCAGTAGAGCTCTGAGGT